TTCTGAGGTTTGCATTCGAGGGCATAGCCTACGAATACCTGGTGCTGCTGTTTGAGTCGTTGCTCACTCCTCGCACCTTTGCGAAATGTTCCGAGGCAGCGCTAGCGCCCCTCAGAGAGAGAGGCATCCGCACTTTAGCCTACCTAGACAACTGGGCTCTTGTAGCTTGCTCAAGAGAGCAGGCGGAGGGAGACACAGCTGTCGCTGGTTCTGTCACACATTCAGACACTGGGGTTCTCTGTGAACTTTCAAAAGAGCTCGCTAATCCCGAGTCAGCAGATTTCTTTCCTCGGTTTAGAAATATGCTGCTTTCCAGCCTTGCACGTTTGTCGGAGCACAGAATGGCTGCGTTTCATCGCTGCCTTGCTCAGTTTCAGCTGGGACGCAGAGTGTGTTTCCAGACAATATTACGTTTGTTGGGCATGATGGCATGTATTACATCTTACTTTGGCTTCGGCAAAGCAAGTGGGTGACCTTCATGTGCTGTCTTTGTGTCCCTCCTGCACACAGTTGTCTCCTGATGGCCACAAGGTTGTATTGCGTTCAAATGCTACCTATTTTCCCAAGATGCCTACATTTTATAGCTCAATGGAGTTTGAGTTGCTGAGCTTTTGCTCCCCTCCTTTTGCATCTGAGGAGCAGAGGAGGATGCGTTCTCTTTGTCCAGTGTGTGTGCTGTGAACCTACATTGACACACGAGGGCGTGACATTCCATACTTGTACGTGTTACACATCGTCCCTCTCCTTCATGGAACAGAAGTTATAGACATAACTGTTCGTTAAACAATGTCCAATATCAGGTTCTAAGACTCCGCACTGGTGCATCGTTGTTTTGTTAATATGTTACCTTCTTTGTCAGCGAAACCATTCACCTTCAGTGACAGCCTTCCCTGGAAACTCTGAGCTGGTCTGCATTCCCTGAGGAAGGAGTGCTTTACATCTGCTCTGGCTCTAACTTACCACTCTGTCCTCATCCATCTGAACTGTGTCCCTAAAATGCCGGTGACTGATGAGTGATCTTGTAAATAAACTTGTTGGGAAACAAGGAAGAGTCTGTTGTTGGGTTGTGCTTTTGAATTCAAAAACAGTCAAGCCGATTCCAGCTCATGACATAAATGAGACCCCTGAAATAAAATTGGCTTTAGTTCAATTAAAGTCTGTAAATCTCACACGATCTCAACAGCTGAGGGATATAAAAACAACAAAATGGGCCAGCAACATTTATGTGAGCTAGGGTGATGAATACTACATTGCTAAATTAAATTTATGAAGGTAATTTCAACACTTGGTTCTTATACTGTGGAATTGCTACTTTGACTGAAAGAAAAAGATGATGGATTTAAAGTAAAGTTTGGGATTTAGACTGGGAAGACAGCAGAGGTTTTCTTTGTGTGTCTTTGACTTTCATGGGTCTTTGAAATGTTTGCCACTAGAATGTGGGACAAACAAAGGTAGCCCAAAGTAAACCACTTGATCACTGTTGAGTGAAAGCTAGATGGAACATTATAATACTATAATGCCGAATAGTACTGCTTTTACATATGTTAGGGATTTCCAGTTGCCTCAAACTGAGTTGAAAGTTTTTAACAAAACTGGAACAAAGTTTAAGGAAGTGATTGACTTTCAGAATAACGAGTAACAATAAATCTTTTTTGGTACTGTGATTTCTCAGCCCTGAAACTGAGGTCAAACTCAGGTCAGTGGTTGACTTTCATTTACCACTAAATTGTTCCTCTTAACACTCAACTTGTTTTATTTAATATCCAACTGATTTCCCATCATCACTGCTCAGAAAAGTGTCAATTAGAGTAAATATCCAAAATATGAAGTTTAAAGTTACATCACTGTGAAATCAGACTAGTCTATACTGAAACGATGTTGAAATCATGACTGAAGGTCAATGGGACTTCAATGGTATGAAAACCGACTGTCAGGTTTAATTTAACTGAATATTTAATTTAACCAGTGTTGGGCAAGCTACTTTGAAAAAGTAATTAATTATAGCTACTAGTTACTTCTTTCAAAAGTAACTGAGTTAGTAACTGAGTTACAAGATTCTAAAAGTAATTAATTACTAGGGAAAGTAACTATCGCGTTACTTTAAAAAATGTTTAACCCTCTGGGGTCCAGAGTATAATTGGCTGTTTTTGACTACTTTTATTTTTATCTCTACATTTCACCTTTAAAAACTAGTTACTTTGCTTTGTTTGGTATCATTCTTTTCAACACGAACCTCACATCTGAATTTACAGTTATGTTTTCATTTTGACATACTGTATTAACACACATGATCTAAAATCAGACAAAAAACATAAAATCAGAGTAGAAAAAGTTCTATTTTCTACTGTAACAACCACAAACATGTTTAATGAATCATATTACATAACTTTAAATGCAAATATAAATTGTAAATTTTAAAATCCTATGCACAAGTTTTGCAAACAAAGTTATTTGCAGCCATTTCAAACTATTTACATAACAATCAGGTATTCTGCATTAAATAAGATGCCACACAAATTATTTGTGCCACTCCCAAAAATAATTTTTGTCCACTATAAAGGAGAACATCACAGCCTGATACCTGCAGGTCTGACAGAACAGGTGTATCACTCCTCCTGTTTTCTACCTGGAGACATCGTTTACACTGTAATCTACCTTTGGTGGCTTTTTAGCAGCACCTGTGTCATTCAGCAGTTGTCTCATTGTTCTGACACACAACACAAAACTATCCACTACGCTACACACTAACTACACAAGACAACACATTAACTACACACTTGGGGTGTCTTTTGTTTTGTTTTATTTTTTTATTTTTGGGTCATAAGCAGAGAGTGCTTGCTACACTCAGAAAAATATAGGTGCCATCTGGAACCAAAAGTGGTTCTTTAGACTGATGCCATAGAGCAGTGGTTCTTAACCTTGCTGGAGGTACCGAACCCCACCAGTTTCATATCTGCATTCACTGAACTCCTGTTTAGTGAAAAATAAAATATGATTTTTCTCAAATTCAAGACATAGATATGTTATTTTGTTTTAGATTTTAATGTCTGTTTTCTGCCTCTGTAAAGCACTTTGTGATGTTCTCTTGAAAGGTGCTATATAAATAAAATTTTATTATTTATTATTATTATTATTGTTTTTTACTGGCGCACAAAATGAGCCGTGCATGTCATGTCGGAGGCTCTGCCGAACCCCTGAGACCGTCTCACCGAACCCCTAGGGTTCGATTGAACCCAGGTTAAGAACCACTGCCATAGAGGAACATTTTTTGGTGCCACAAAGAACCTTTCAAACAATGGTTCTTTGAAGAACCATTTCTTTCAGTGGTTCATTGAAGAACCTTTAAAGGTGCCCCAAAGAACCATCAAGAAATGGTTCTTTGGGGCACCTTTAATGGTTTTTCAAAGAACCTTTTTAAAAATGGTTCTTTAAAGAACCATTTTTAAAAAGATCCTTCAAATGGTTCTTTAAAAAAAAAAACATTTTAAAGAACCTTTTTTGAGTGGTTCTTTAAAAAACCATTTTAAATCTTTCAAAATAAAAATGTATCATAAATTGAATTTGAGCAGGGTAAAATAAACACGAGCACAGCATAGACATATATTAATGGTTTATTGTCATTTTGTAGTTACCAAAAGACAAAAAGGCATTTTAACCCTCAGCACAACATCACTACTAATACATGTCACATATTAGTGTTTTAAACAGTAATAATTAAACATTTTTACTATACTATAAATAAATATATATAAATACTATATCTATAGATAACACAATTAATATATGTATTGTTTAATTAATAAAACATCAGAAAGTGATAAAACACATTAGAAATAGCAATCCGATTGTTCAGTCTGACGTCACTAGCCGTGTCTGGGTCTAAACTCCGCTGCAGGTCCATATATCAAACGATCACTATGGCATTACTGAGAGTTGAAAAACTGTCTAAAGTCTTTCATCTTTAATAAAATGATCAGCGTTCTGCTCTACCAGGTGTAACAATTGAGTTTAACATCCAGGCATCCATGAAAACGGAATTTATGACTTTTAACGGAGTTAGAAGTTAGCAGGGAGTTAGCTCGCTAGCTTCTATCTAAATACAATATAGCATGTCCTGACTGCGAGGTTTTGGAAACAAATTAAAACGTACAGCTCTGCTATCACTTCCAGCATAAATGAAGACAGAAAACTAAACAGCAGTGACGTTTGTAGGGTTACTGAAGTTGGGCTAGCTGGTATATAATGATGTGCTACGTGACCGCTAGCGACACAGCTATGTTAGCATAATATAAACAAGCTAACTTTTTTCCCACTCGATAAAAGTTAACGCGAGTGTTCTCGGTGGTCAGGAACAAATGTAATCGCATGGCAGGATGCTGTAAAAGGACCAAACTTCAGCCAGGAGAACAACTGAGATAATCCAGGTTAGTCATTCATATACTGCTGCATGGGCTGGGCTGTAGTTACATCCTAGGGTTTTAAAAACTGAGCTTAAATAAATGATTAGTGGTAATAAAAGCCGAGGGAGGTCAACAGGGATCACTGACTGTTTTAGGAGCTTTTTGAGATCAAATAGAAGAAAATACATAACATTAAACATGTTAACAACACAAAAGCCATATTAAACGCAGACCCGGAAGTAGGATTCGTCGCGTCATCACTGAACAACCGGATAGCTTCATAACAGACCAATAAATCAACACATTTTCATCAGCAGATGCTTGCATGTTCAATAAAAATATTTCAACAACAAGTTTATGATTAAAATGATCAATGAACTTCAGCCTAACGCTATGTAATGTACGTTTCATGTTGTACTCATGGTCCTTTGTTAGTCCAGTTTAGGATAATGTCTCTGACGTATGTTTCATATCAAATATATATCATATCAAAACAAGCCCACACCTGCAGTTGTTTCAGTTTTTCACTGGTGTTTCCTGTCAGCTGGTCAACCTCACTCAGGCGGACATCCATATCAGCCAACCAAATGACAAGTTCCTCCCTTTGTGCTTCAAATCCCTCCCACTCTGAGACAAGGAGCTGAAAGAGAGAGAGAAAAGAGTCAATTATAAAGAAGAGAGAAAAGTGAAACCCTCCTCAGAAGGTCTGACTCGCATACCTGCAGTTGACCTGTGATGGACCAGTTTGATGTTCACGTCATCCCTCGCCGATGCCAACAGCCAAGTCTGCAGGGTGCCCTGGAAGAGCTTAGTTAATGTTTCACTCCTCCTGGTCAGGCTCTCCAGCTGGATGATCCGAGGTCTCCCCTCTCGCCGCTGCCTCTGAACACACAAACACAAATTGCATCTGAAGCAGGAGGTGCAGATTTTTTGTGCTATTCTTTTCTAAATCCAGGCTAGATCATGTGGAAGTATTTGTAAAACTTTTTTGGCCAGTGGACGACTGTTGTCTTGCAGAAAGTCAAATCAAACATATGCGATACACAATCAATTCACAAGAACACATTATAAAAAAATAAGTCCAGTTCTTGCCTGATTTCAAACGAATTCTGCATCAAAACAGGGTAAAATGAGTGTTTGCAGCAAATGTGAGCACAAAGCCTCACTTTGTAGAAGCCTGCTATTACAGTTCTCCTCTATGCAGACGACTTTCCTGTTTTCAAGGCACAACTTGGATCTGCTGTATGAATCTTATGGATACACACTAAATGAAACAATAGTGTGCATGACTCCAGATTCTGATCCCTCATCCTAATATGGTCCCAACATAGCAACAGCAATAAAGCAAATGTTGAGGCTTCAAAATACAAAGTCCATAAACCAATGGCTGACATGGGTTTTATCATAAGGGTGATAAATATACAGATTTCAGTCTGTTATAGAGATTTGATGTTCATTTACCTGCAGATGCACTATACGCACCTGCTCCATGGTTTTTCACAGCATTTTGCACATCACTATTTAATACAGGAAGTAGGTGAACTAAAACAAGTCATCTTTCTTTGTGAGAGGACCATATTAATGAAACAAACCTCAATGACATCATAGGGATCCCTAAAGATGCTCCTGCTGCTTCTCTTCCTCCTCATCCTAAGCTTCCTTCTCCTTGTCCTCGCCTTCCATCCAATTGTAATTCAACCTAATTGTGTTTCTCCCCCTCCTCTTCCTCATTTTGGTGGAGCTGTGAACACAATGTGAATCTGGATTAATTTGTGCAAACAAGAAAAATCTACAGCTTTTTGGTCAGAGGTGCTCTTGTGATTTAAGCCGGGTAGAGTAGATTTATGTGTTGATGCTACCTGCTTCAGCTCTGGCTGCTGAGTGATATTTACACCCTGGCTGGATTACAAACTTTAACCATGTGCTGAACTTTGGCCCAGCGTTGATACCTCTTGTTAGTATAACGACCTCTTCTTAGCTTGTATGTATGATGGTGGATAATGAAATATACAAAGAAAATGTAACTATATTACAAAAGAACAGCTATCTTGGAAACATCAAATGACCGGAGCATAACTTGTCAACTAGTCCAAAAATAAGTTATACAGGAACAGTCAAAGACACACCTTCTCATGGCACATTTCTATTCATTTCTATATTATACAATAAAGAGTTATCTAATCTAATTATTCATTCAAAACACTTATGCATAGCTGTATTTTATACAGCTCATAGTACAGGTACAGGAATTCAAAGTACAGGTTCATGTGAGTATTTAATGTACGGCTCAGATCTACAGAATTTCAGAGTTTCTAGAGCAGACACAGAGTTCACATCACAACAGGCTTCAGGCGCCATTTTAGTGACGTTAACAACATCCATCCATCCATCCATCCGCTTCTGCTTATCCTTTTCAGGGTCGCGGGGGGCGCTGGAGCCTATCCCAGCTGTCATAGGGCGAGAGGCAGGGTACATCCTGGACAGGTCGCCATTCTGTCACAGGGCCAACACACAGGGACAGACAACCATTCGCACTCACATTCATTCGAACATTCACACCTAGTGACAATTTGGATTATCCAATTAACCTATCCCCACAAGCTGCATGTCTTTGGATGGTGGGAGGAAGCCGGAGTAACCGGAGGGAACCCACGCAAACACGGGGAGAACATGCAAACTCCACACAGAAAGACCCCGGCCTGGTGTTGGAATTGAACTCAGGACCTTCTTGCTGTGCGGCAACAGTGCTAACCACCGTGCCACCCACGTTAACAACATATTAAATTTTAATTTCGGTCTAGCTGACATTAGGTTATGTACGCAGCACGCAATTGAACCACATATTTTAGAAGCCAAGGGTCAAATTAGCTGGGAGCACCTTCACTTAATTATAACAGTGGTTTTGTTAGGAAAACAGTTTCTGTATACCGGATACTAAATTGTGCTGACGTCAACGGCTAACGTATCTAGCTAATCGCTACTGTTAGCACAACATTAACAGCAAGCTACAATGACGAGTAACAAAAACAAAACAGTAATAAGGTTTTAATGAAAATGTTTTACCTTTTCTAACAGTCCCAGAATCCACAGCTTCAAAGTCCAGCAGGTACTGAAGACTGTTATCCGTTTCGCTGTCACCGTCCGTGAGTTTTTTTTCCCGAAGGTCAAGGCCCGCCGCTCGCACACTCTGTCTGCGCATGCGCATCGCAACGACTGACCCCCTCCATCCACTCCCGGGAGGTTATAGTATGACGTGTTCTGACGTCACTCTCTCTCCCTGTCATTTATTTGGCTCGAAACACATATCAACAAATTGCTCAGTGATGAACAACTACTCAGATCATTTACCTAAGCAGTGCGCTTTGTCAAAACGAAGTGTGTGTTCATTACACTGACATTCTGTTCTGCAATTGTTATTTACTTGTATTTCATAATTTGACTTTACATACTGCTGGGTGGTTTGTAAAGTTTACAATAACTAGTATTACCATTATACTATATTTTCAAAAATATATAATAATCTCAAAAGTAATGCCTTGGAGTAGAAAATAGTAATGCTTTATTAAAATTTAAAACTAAAGTACAGTATTTGAATGTGTGTATTGTGTCTACTGTTTGTTAACTCACCATATTCATAATGGGTTTGTGGGGTTAGGGGTGTGTGTGTGTGTGTGTGGGGGGGGGGGGGGGGGGGGGGGGGGGGTTAGGGTCTTTAGGTCCCCCCACCCCTGCCACCAGTATATTTTTAAGCAAATATTTCTAACTTTTATTTGAATATTCAGTTTCCTACCATTTTCTCTTAAAGGGTAATTGCCAGGTAATCCGCCCTCCCCCTTCGCACACACATGCACACAAAGAAAACACACAGTATAATTCACAGCCTCGTTATAGTGCATAAATATTTATGCCATTTACACCATCAAACTTAGATTGCTAAGGATGAAGAACCTTTTGTTCTTTAAAGAACCATTTGTAATAGCTGAAGAACCATCCACAAAATAAAAAGGTTCTTTGACGTATGATGGTTCTTTAAAGAACCATGAAGACATCTGAAGAACCATTTAAGAACCATAATTTTTCTGAGTGTAGCGCTGTCCTTAGAAAGTAAACGTTATGAAAGTATTTAGGAAAAAACGCCGCGTATATACTGTTTATCATGACTCTGGTTTTACGTGGCCTATCAACACAATTTAAAAACTGGTATATAACACCTTGTTGCTTTGTCATCTTGAAGTGATCAAGTTTCTTGTTAGTAACGGTAATGGCATTGTAATGATAGTAATTAGTTAGATTACTTGTTACTGAAAAAAGTAACACCATTAGTAACACCGTTACTTATAAAGCTGTTATTCCCATCACTGAATTTAACTGAATATATATGTTGAAGTCTGACATTGATCCTTGATCATATTTGTACCCTAACACAATACTGAAACAGCAGCGAGGTCACTGCTAAAGTGCAGTAAGACTTCAATGGTATTTCTGCTGATACACAGCAAATTACTAATAACACTTTAAACTATTGTGCTTCTTTATGTATGGGCAGGATGAATGTTGTGATGATGCTGTTTTAAATATTTTTAACCTTTTTAACCTTACCATTAAACATTAGGATTCTAACATGTAAATAACAAGAGGCAGCTTTGCATTAAAATCACAGGTTTATTCATTTCATTAAATCAATATTAAAAATTTAGAATTTTTTTGTTTTTGTTTGTTTTGTTGGTGTTGTTGTTGTTGTTGTTGTTTTAATTGTATGATATTCTGCCTCCAACTGGTCTGGATCATATCTGTAAAGGAGAGTCCCACCCAGCCCATTTGCTCAGTCACTCCATCTACAAAAGAAAAACCAAAAGCAATAACTGAGTAAATCTAATGAGAAAAAAAACCATAACAAACTTTTATACTCACTTATTTATTGATTCAAGGTTTTCTACTTAATATGCATCGTTGTCGTTTTATGGTCAACCATAAATTAAGGACATTTCAACAAAATTTCTCAGAAAACACGTGACTTTTCTATATTGGGAAGATGGGATGTACCACTGTGAGAGGAGCCTGGTGGAATAGTCCAAGTGAAAATATCTTTAATCTGAAAAGTCAACATTTGTTTTCAGTGTCACGTTTCTAAGCCCTTACATGCCTTGACCTTTGAAAACAGCTCAAATGACTAACTCTGAAAGCAAAAGTAAATAGCTGGTGAAACAACCCCAAAACAGAAAGTTTAAAAAACGTACAAAGCATAACATGTCCCGTTACAACGACTCAAAATGAAACTCACGGGCAGAATAAAAGCTCCGATGGGGACACAAACTGTGGTTTTCTGGATGACACAGCTGTAAACCCAGATGGTGTTGGACATCCTCTGAAGCAAAGACGTGTACCTTTGTCTTTACGTCGAGGCAGCAGGAAATCACACCAAGAGACAGGTGAAAAGCATAAATGTGTTATTTTATATGTGGCAGACTTCAGAACACTTCATGCACATCCAGAGTGAGCTAAGGAGTTTCTTTCATATCTGTTTATATGTGATCAATAATCAAATTTGATTTGATTAAATGACTGATTTTAATGCATATTTCTTTAGTCAAAATGTGATTTATGCGCAGACTTTAGCTTAACTTCAAGAGGTTATCATAAAGTAGGGCTATTAACTACTAGGAGTTATGGCCATTATTACACATAAAGCATAAAAAAAACTTAATGATGAGAAGTTGTTTTCGTATTGCTTTTATTTTGACATAGCAAGAAAGTAAGTGCTGTATTTTGTGTGTTGTGTGTGTGTGTTCATTTCTAGATTTGGCTATTAAATAATCTGTTTGACAGATGGCAATAAGGTTACTGTGCACACACTAAGTTAACCTAATTGGAGCTATGAAGACACACAGAGCTGCATGGTGTTGTTTAGATGGACTTGTTTTGCATGTTTATATTTCCCAAAGATACAGTTAGAAAATACTGATGGAGAGATGCACTGAGGAGAAAAGACTTTCAGCCAAATTCCTCTGCATATGAGCAACATGGGCTGTCAAAGATATTACTCGTAAAATAAGACACCGGTTAGCATTTTGCACTTCTGCTTTTCCCTTGTTGTTTCTCAGTCCCCGTTCTCTCTTCACAGTCTCTACATCCTCATAGACAAGCAAAGGAGTGCGGAGTCTGGAAATAGGAATTCAACAAAACTGAACCAGAGTCGTCATTTCAAAGCCAAGTATGTAAGACATAACTGCATGGCGTGTCCATTGTTTAGTTATAGCCTGGGCCTACTGCTGTGTTAATGACATCTTATTTATTCATT